AGAGATGGGGAAGACTAACTATAATCTCCACTATGATGAGAGATGGGGAAGACTAACTATAATCTCCACTATGATGAGAGATGGGGAAGACTAACTATAATCTCCACTATGATGAGAGATGGGAAAGACTAACTATAATCTCCACTATGATGAGAGATGGGGAAGACTAACTATAATCTCCACTATGATGAGAGATGGGGAAGACTAACTATAATCTCCACTATGATGAGAGATGGGGAAGACTAACTATAATCTCCACTATGATAATAGATGGGGAACACTATAATCTCCACTATGATGAGAGATGGGAAAGACTGACTATAATCTCTACTATTATGAGAGATGGGGAAGACCTATAATCTCCACTATGATGGGAGATGGGGAAGACTATAATCTCCACTATCATGAGAGATGGGGAAGACTATAATCTCCACTATGATGAGAGATGGGGAAGACTAACTATAATCTCCACTATAATGAGAGATGGAGAAGACTATAATCTCCACTATGATGAGAGATGGGGAAGACTATAATCTCCACTATGATGAGAGATGGGGAAGACTATAATCTCCACTATGATGAGAGATGGGGAAGACTATAATCTCCACTATGATGAGAGATGGGGAAGACTAACTATAATCTCCACTATAATGAGAGATGGAGAAGACTATAATCTCCACTATGATGAGAGATGGGGAAGACTATAATCTCTACTATGATGAGAGATGGGGAAGACTAACTATAATCTCTATTATGATGATAGATGGGGAAGACTAACTATAATCTCTACTATGATAAGAAATGGGGAAGACTAACTATAATCTCCACTATGATGAGAGATGGGGAAGACTAACTATAATCTCCACTATGATGAGAGATGGGGAACACTATAATCTCCACTATGATGAGAGATGGGAAAGACTGACTATAATCTCCACTATTATGAGAGATGGGGAAGACTATAATCTCCACTATGATGAGAGATGGGGAAGACTATAATCTCCACTATGATGAGAGATGGGGAAGACTATAATCTCCACTATGATGAGAGATGGGGAAGACTAACTATAATCTCCACTATAATGAGAGATGGAGAAGACTATAATCTCCACTATGATGAAAGATAGGGAATACTATAATCTCCACTATGATAAGAGATGGGGAAAACTATAATCTCCACTATGATGAGAGATAGGGAAGACTATAATCTCCACTATGATGAGAAATGGGGAAGACTAAAATCTCCACTATAATGAGAGATGGGGAAGACAATAATCTCCACTATGATGAGAGATGGGGAAGACTAACTATAATCTCCACTATGATAAGAGATGGGGAAGACTAACTATAATCTCCACTATGATGAGAGATGGGGAAGACTAGCTATAATCTCCACTATGATGAGAGATGGGGAAGACTATAATCTCCACTATGATGAGAGATGGGAAAGACTGACTATAATCTCCACTATGATGAGAGATGGGGAAGACTAACTATAATCTCCACTATGATGAGAGATGGGGAAAACATAATCTCCACTATGATGAGAGATGGGGAAGACTATAATCTCCACTATGATGAGAGATGGGGAAGACTAACTATAATCTCCAATATAATGAGAGATGGGAAAGACTATAATCTCCATTATGATAAGAAATGGGGAAGACTATAATCTTCACTATGATGAGAGATGGGAAAGACTATAATCTCCACTATGATGAGAGATGGGGAAGACTATAATCTCCACTATGATGAGAGATGGAAAGACATAATCTCCACTATAATGAGAGATAGGGAAGACTATAATCTCTACTATGATGAGAGATGGGGAAAACTAACTATTATCTTCACTATGATGAGAGATGGGAAAGACTAGAATCTCCACTATGATGAGAGATGGAGAAGACTATAATCTCCACTATGATGAGAGATGGGGAAGACTATAATCTCCACTATGATGAGAGATGGGGAAGACTAACTATAATCTCTATTATGATGATAGATGGGGAAGACTAACTATAATCTCTACTATGATAAGAAATGGGGAAGACTAACTATAATCTCCACTATGATGAGAGATGGGGAAGACTAACTATAATCTCCACTATGATGAGAGATGGGGAACACTATAATCTCCACTATGATGAGATGGGGAAGACTAACTATAATCTCCACTATGATGAGAGATGGGGAAGGCTATAATCTCCATTATAAGAGATGGGGAAGACTATAATCTCCACTATGATGAGAGATGGGAAAGACTATAATCTCCACTATGATGAGAGATAGGGAAGACTATAATCTCCACTATGATGAGAGATGGGGAAGACATAATCTCCACTATAATGAGAGATGGGGAAGACTATAATCTCTACTATGATGAGTGATGGGAAAGACTAACTATAATCTCCACTTTGATGAGAGATGGGAAAAACTATAATCTTCACTATGATGAGAGATGGGGAAGACTAGAATCTTCACTATGATGAGAGATGGGGAAGACTAGAATCTCCACTATGATGAGAGATGGGGAAGACTAGAATCTCCACTATGATGAGAGATGGAGAAGACTATAATCTCCACTATGATGAGAGATGGGGAAGACTATAATCTCCACTATGATGAGAGATGGAGAAGACTAACTATAATCTCCACTATAATGAGAGATGGGGAAGACTATAATCTCTACTATGATGAGAGATGGGGAAGACTAACTATAATCTCTATTATGATGATAGATGGGAAAGACTAACTATAATCTCTACTATGATGAGAAATGGGGAAGACTAACTATAATCTCCACTATGATGAGAGATGGGGAAGACTAACTATAATCTCCACTATGATGAGAGATAGGGAAGACCAACTATAATCTCCACTATGATGAGAGATGGGGAAGACTAACTATAATCTCCACTATGATGAGAGATGGGGAAGACTAACTATAATCTCCACTATGATGAGAGATGGGGAAGACTATAATCTCCACTATGATGAGAGATGGGGAAGACTGCCAATAATTTCCACCATGTGAGAGATGGGAAAGACTTCACTATGATGAGAGATAGGGAAGACTAACTATAATCTCCACTGTAATGAGAGATGGGGAAGACTAACTTTAATCTCCACTATGATGAGAGATGGAGAAGACTAACTATAATCTCCACTATGATGAGAGATGGGGAAGACTAACTATAATCTCCACTATGATGAGAGATGGGGAAGACTACAATCTCCACTATGATGAGAGATGGGAAAGACTATAATCTCCACTATGATGAGAGATAGGGAAGACTATAATCTCCACTATGATGAGAGATGGGGAAGACATAATCTCCACTATAATGAGAGATGGGGAAGACTATAATCTCTACTATGATGAGAGATGGGGAAGACTAACAATAATCTCCACTATGATGAGAGATGGGGAAGACTAACTATAATCTTCACTATGATGAGAGATGGGGAAGACTATAATCTCCACTATGATGAGAGATGGGGAAGACTATAATCTCCACTATGATGAGAGATGGGGAAGACTATAATCTCCACTATGATGAGAAATGGGGAAGACTATAATCTCCACTATGATGAGAGATGGGGAAGACTAACTATAATCTCCACTATAATGAGAGATGGGGAAGACTATAATCTCTACTACGATGAGAGATGGGGAAGACTAACTATAATCTCTATTATGATGATAGATGGGGAAGACTAACTATAATCTCTACTATGTTGAGAAATGGGGAAGACTAACTATAATCTCCACTATGATGAGAGATGGGGAAGACTAACTATAATCTCCACTATGAAGAGAGATGGGGAAGACTATAATCTCCACTAATAGACGATGAGATGGGGGAAGACTATAATCTCCACCATGATGAGAGGATGGGGAAGAACTAACTCCCCCCGATAATCTCACTATAATGAGAGAGAGCTTTCCATCACATATAGTGCAGTCCTCATTAAAAATGCCTCTATCAAGACCCAACAAGCAGCACGTC